ATAGAAAATTATAACTATTTTATAGTGTTTCTTAAAATTGAATTTTTTCGTTTTTATACTAGTACACGTATAATGTCGAAATTCAAATATCATATGAATTGCCTAAATAATACTCCTTTAAGCATGATATATATGCTGGAGCGCCCTTATTGGCTTTATAAATGCGCCTTTTTTTTTTTGTCAAAATTTTACTATTATTTCTAATTCCAACGATTCGAATCGACAACTATCACGATTATCATTTTGAAAAAATATTCGGATTTTCCGTACCTAATATGTATTTCGCATCCACTTAGTGTAACCGTATTTTTCATGAAATGGATGTTCATATCATGAACTACGATCATATCGTGTAATTCAAATATTAGTTCATGAAATAGACAAATATTTTATCCATTTCATGAAATGGAAACTCTACCTTTATTTTTTATCTAAGTATCTAAAATTTTAAATTGATCACATCAAAAGGTATTTTTTTGTAGAATCGAAATAATAACATTGATACGATAACACGAATCTAGAATTTTTAAATTATGGGCATTAAGATATTAAATAAGTACTTTAGAACTTACTGTACTGCTATGGTATAATAMGACACTTGATCAAAAAATACCCGGACTATTTATATCAATTAGGATAATGAAACCCCAAATGTAGGGAGTTGCATATCCAAAAAAAAAGAAAAGAATGTTATGTAAAATCTATTATTTATTTATTACAAATTAATTAAAAATATGATTGACAGATATTTACAATTAAAAATAATCTAAAAACTAATCTCACTTGTCCACCCCAAGCGGCTGATCTGTGGTTGAACTGGGCCAAGTGTAACTGTTTTTCCTATATAAATAACATGATATTATAATAATATAATAAATATAAATTTTCATAATATGAAAACATGAACCACCAAAGCTAAAAAATTTTTTTTTTGTTTATAGAATTTGTTTCTTTAGGCATAATAAGAATATGTGACACCAGAAAAAAGATACATGATTATTTGATTTATAGTTAAAAAATCATCATCTAAACATGTGAAACATCTGACAACAATTTAAAAATTAAGAAACTGTTTAAAATTAATATTTTCAATAATTGTAAAATGATACATAACTACTAGTTGGTTTTTCAAAATTAAAAATACAAATTTAATTATAATTCAACAAATTGTTGTAACAAAGTTTTGATTTCATATACTACAGTATTATAAATTATATTTAACATACCTATTGAGCTCTTGAAGCTCATCAATTCGACGTTWGCATCCTCGTTTCTTAGTAGGTTGTTTATCTAACTGTGCTATATATACATTTGATTTTGGTCGTGTGATCTATAAAATAAAATATAATTGCATACGCATTTTTAACAATTTTTCTTTTAATAAAATTCTATAATAAAAAAGTAAAATGTATTTAATTACAGATCGATTTCTAATTTAATTTTTCGAAGTAAAAGTCCTCAAAATCCTTTTCGGACACTCCTTCAAGTTTTAAATAATATGTTCTCTGTTCATCTATTTCTTCATCGTTTTTCTTTCTTTCATTATCTTCTCTGATCTTTCTTTTTACATCTTCTCTTTTTATTTTTTTGTGTGATTTATATTGATTTTTGTTCACTGATGTGAAACATCTGAATKATAAATTATAATGTAAAAAATTATGGTTTAAAAGATCTGAAATACTTGTAATGCTAATGAAGAAAAGATTATGAAAGTCCAATAATCAAAATGAAATGTCAAATTAATTGAAGATAAAAGTATATAAAAACAGATATATATATATAGAAAAAAAAGTTATAAAATCCAGGTAAAAAGAATTTAAAAATTAAATATCTGTTTAAAATTAATATTTTCAATACTTGTAAAATAACGCATAGTTATTTTTCTCTAATTCAAAATTAAAACTAGAAATTTAATTATAATTCAACAAAACGTTGTAATAAATTTTCGATCTCATATAATATAGTATTATAAATTATATTCATCATACCTATAAGGCTCTTGAAGCTYATCAATTCGACRTTTGCGTCCTCGTTTCTTAGGAGGTGGTTTATCTAACTGTGCTGTAACACATTGTTTTTGAGTTTG